GGAAATATACAACCTATTGCTATTAGCACTCAGTAAATATGAGGATCATTGGATAGGTAATCACTTTGGGAACGTAGGACAGAACGTAGAATAGAATAGGCGAAAATATGAAGCTTCACGTCCCCTTCACTCATCTCATTAGAAGTGACAGAAGATATATGCTGCGATACGTCAAAATTGCATCCACTCACTTTATTCGTCTACGTAAAACATGCAAACTGTACAAATAAATAGTGGACACGATGCTGAACACTGGTTTGCTGATTTTTGCAGGTTACTTGATCAATGCCTTAGTGACTAAGTCGCATGCTTAATCAGTGTTTTTGTGCATAGGAAAACGGTAGGATCAAAGGTCAGATAGCAACCTTGCACCGTCAGTAGCCAGGCACCCCTGAGATACTGGTCATCGGATTGATGCGGTCAAGTTTTTTCCGAACCATCTTGAGCAACACAAACCTCGACGTTTTAGCGATAAGCGAAGGAATCCTGATCAAATCATACCAGTGGACAAAAGCCATTCGGTTAACTTGGTGCTGAACGGGTGATTTTCAGAAATCGGGGATCTTTTCCAGATAACCCCGCCACCAATGCAAAAAGTGCATGTGCGAAAAGTTAAGCCCCGCCACTTTTTGCCAGCTCCAATTTAGTGTACGCACACTACGTTGACTTATTTTTGATGAAAACAATTCCTTATCCACATGTAGGCTGATATTGTGCAAAAATTTCCTCCGTTTGGACGTAAAACCTTGAAAGGACTTTCTAACGCTTTCATCTCTCGTTCATGACAAGGAGACGGCAATACGTTTTTTGCAAAGCCACTGAGTGATCCATCTGCAACGTTTATGCAACAACGGCCACCAAATCACACTTTCAACTGTTTCTGACAGTTGGAGGTGTAATGCCCGACAGTGTCGGCAAGAAATCGGTCTTCGAAAGGGAACTTGGCTGGAGCGGTCTAGGATGAAATTTAGGACAGTAATTCTACTCATTTATTTGGCAAAAATCAAATTCTGCTCAGAGGAATTACCTATAAGCCACATGACCGCTGTTGACTGGAAGAACTTCCTGCCAGAAGTTTGCGCCTGGTGGCTTTTTCAGACTCTAGCGGTTAATCATACTGAAAACTTTGTGGATCAAACGACTGGAGCTCACACACAAACCATCGAATCTCTTTGGCACGTCTACAAGATGCAGAATAAACGCCAATGCAGCACACACCGATCTTAAGTGGACAGCTACTGGTGCCAGTTCGTTTGGAGGCAAAGGTACCGAAAAAAACGGACGTTTTCATGCAAAGTATTAATGACATGTCCCAGTTTCCCCCTCTTCAATAAAAACCTAAAAGTACAAATTTCATATCCTCTTTTTTCTAGTCGTTTTTGGGTGGTGGAGGTTGATTTTTTGGCGGGGCTTATCAGGAAAAGGTCCGAAAGCAGCCAGCCAGTGTGTGTTCGTTGTTTTTACCCTTTTTTTATATACTCCGGCGACTGAAGGGAGTAAAAGAAATGTTAACATACACCAGCTTACATCTTCTGTCAGATATAATCAGTTACACGAAATCGATCCATGCAAAAGGTGCTCACCGAGAACCGTCACAGAAATCATCTTAACATGATTGGTATGGGTGATTTAGAAACTTCGGAGTAATAAAGATTTTCGACTGGACATCTGGAAATGCAAGCAATCCTCGGGATTGATAGGTTTCTCGTACTATTAGCTGAGCGCAAAATAACTCTATTTAAGCTCATTCTACCGACTGGTGCTGATGAGCTGGCAACCGCGGCTAACATTCCTTGTCACCTGCGCGAGTGGCGCGCCATCAGCTGACACATGGTTCTCGCTATCGCTCGGACAATTACCACCATTAAAACTACAGGAGCATTTCTACTTCAGGCTGAATGGATGTAGACTTTTCACTTATCAGAATTGGGTATACTAGTCCTTCTGATCTCTATCGCGACCTCATAATCCCACCCCAATTTTTGAGTTGCTAACTGACTTTGACTGGACTCAAAAATTTTCACTCCCTTCTTTTACTCTCTCACCGTTTTTCTCCGTGTTGCAAGGTCACACATTTCCAGTGTGCGAAACAGCTACCACCCACTTCTTTCCGGTTAGAAAACGCGTTTTCGCCTAAGACAGCCCTGTGCCTCACATATTTCTGTCCCTGACTTCTGAACAAAGCTCACTTCCGTCTTCTGTGACTCGGACCATACTGTCGAAACTTCATTTCCTGTGCGACGTCAGAGTGAAACGCTGCATCCTCGGTTAATTGATATGCATAATTTAGAGTAGTCTGCAAAACGCATTCTGTAGAACTTGTAGCAGAGTACTCCGCTAACATCCAACTTTATTGTTGTCTAATCGTTGATCCCTGTTCGAGAAGACAGTCTAAAATGTGAATTTAGGCGTGGCGACGCATCGCTCATCTCGGGCACCTTCAAACGCCTTACCTAATTATCTTCCGTCACCAATCTCTCTTCCATTCACTTCAATCACAAAAAGTTAGATAAAATCGTAGAACCCTTTCGGTGCCTAGCTGCCATGCCACCAGAAGGAAGCATGAGAGCTGGGATACTGCCAGGTTACCCAAGACGAGGTCAAGAGGCAGAGGTCGGGTTCGATCCACGGACCTTCTGGTCAGTAGATTCACGCTCTAACCACTTGACCCATCTTACACCCTCTTCAATCACAGAAAAAACTGTCGCTGCTAAATAAAGTTCCTGCACCCCTAAACCACCTAAACATTCCAGAAATATTACTCCTGAAATTTGATCCATAACTTGCTCCAATGATCCGGAAACTTTTACCTGCTACAACTTGCTCAGGCTTTTCCCACTCCTGAAAGTAGCTCTCCATACGATACAAATACCTGTCACACGTCTATTACTTCCACTCTATCCAAAGTTCTGGGGTCAATTTTTCTAAACAATTCTTGTGTGATCTCGAGGATAGTGCTCCCGAAAGTTATTGATATCAAATGTCTACTCCACGGGCGACAGTTCAACCTAGGTGCCACATACAGTTATTTTCTCTCAGTGAAACTGAACTAGCTGCTCTTGATAGTTCAAAAGCATTCCTTTTTCAGCAATGCGACCGGCTGAACGGACCTAATGGCGCTGAATGGCCGTAAAGTCGAACGCACCTTATTGTGGACTCAGGATCAACAGGAGTCCACAATAATCTGTATCTCTCCCGACACTTCTTGTTCACTTTACTGACCTCCGTTTGAATGACCTCGTACATCCAAATAATCATTCTTCGTTCTACCGTAACCAGTGTAGCGTCATTGACCGATCACCTGACGACCATGCACTGACTATCACAAGATTCAATCGAGAATGCGGATTACGACCAATCTTAGTTTTAGCAAACAGAAACAGGTGTGCTCTCTTCATGCATCTATTTCCCACGCTGAACAGGTCCCAGATGAACCTCATTCGTGGTGTACCACGGAGTTATGTTTGATTTGTACTTTGTCAACCTCATCCAAAAATTCCAACACCAGGTTTCAAGGGGGCGGTTTTCCTGTAAAGAATTAACAACGCCGATCACATTCACGATCAAGCTGTTTCCCAATCCCCATATTTGGGTTGGACCCACTCTTTTCTTTTCATTTTACTAACACTTCCTCAATCCTGATGTCAACCCCCCCCCCCAGTAGTGCATTTATCATGTTGTTTCCTACTTATACCTCTATATCTTGCTATCAAAGTTCTGTAACTTGCGGACAACCTAACTTTTGTTTACCTGATTCCATTCAGAATGGACCTATATAGCAGGCTGTCGCACCCTTTGAGGAGATAAGTTGAACGCTTCGATTGTCAGCACACGGGTCTGCTTGACTGCTACTTTTTAGGGAGATGCTCGTGGGAGCTAGTTTCTTCCGTCAGTTTGCCTGTCTTCTAAACAAACAACCCTCCCATTAACTTCAAGCCATCCCCATCATCTTTCGAGCCTTCCTATGTTGCAACCAAACTGTCCGGTTTCTGAAACTCCCTACAACTTTCTGCACTCCTAGACTCGCTCTGCAGCTCGAGTGGTTAACGCGAGAACTTACTAGCAGGAAGGTTCATGGCGCGAACATAATCTTTACATCCCGGCTGCCCCTGTCTAGGTTCGGACAAACTGGAAGTATCTCAAGCCTCATGCAGCCTTCGCGTAGCGTGACAACTAGGCACTGAAAAGGTATAAAAACAAATTATTTTTCATTGTTTTTTCTGCAGTTCCTCACACGATGTGAACCCAACCAGTCCGTTGTGAAGTTTCTCTATTTTTAGAGGGTTTCTGATCGCGCATACCACTTGCGTGCAGTAAAACAAATTCAGTGATGCGAAATATGACCACGGATGCGTACCGTCAGTTTCGAGTGGCCGCATGCGGTCTTCTTCCGTTGTCCTCTACTCACTTTCGGGACCTGTTCGCACTCATCTACATTAAGCAACCGAAAAACGGGACGGTTCCGCGTTTTTCCAGGTCCTTTGTGGACAGTGACGCGGTTACAAAATTAATACACCGATCCATCGCGGCCCGGATGAGGGTACGTAAGTAACATGAACGGTGATGTTCAAGATAGCTAACATTTGAATCTACATCACTCGCTGTTGTTAGCATCGTCGTCCCCAGGTAGGATCGCTGGGTGGGGAATCCTGCATTCTGCCAGGGCCTTTATAACTTTCTGTCCTGAGGAAAATGTTTTGGATCGAATACGCTGGCACGAATAACTAGGCCAGAATTCCATAAAACTGTCGAGTAACGTAACCGGGGGAACGCTTCGGCCATCATTTTACCGTTATTTTTTTTATCGTTCAGCTGTAACACCCTTCCGGTGCCTAGCTGCCATGCTACCCGAAGGAAGGACGAGGGCTGGGATACTGCCAGGTTGCCCAAGCCCAGACAGGGAAAGTCGAGAGGTAGAGGTCGGGTTCGAACTAATTTGCGTTCACCAAACACATCAATGGGAACACACGTCAAACCCATACCGTTAATTAGAAAAGTCTGCAGGCCACACGGTTGTTCTTCTCACGATCGATCATACAGCGTAAAATCATCCATCTCAAACAAGCAAACAGGCGGAGTCTTAGAAGACACCAAAACATCAAGTAGTTCGATGGAGACAAAATGTACACGGACATTCCGGCAAAGCGTTGTCGGCTGTCAGCAGGACAAACGTCCAAACATATACAAACGTTCCGATGAAAGAGTAGTTAGAAATGAAACCTGAAAAAACTGAATCACTGTGATGGATTTTTGTTGATTAAACAGCTATCCAAGTGTGAGAAGCGGCGCGCAGTAGTATGAACAAACTCATCCACACATGAGGTATGCTTGAGCAGCGCTGTAGAAGCGAAGCTTATATGTGAAACAGGATCTGCAAACCGGTTGGGTTGCACAGGACAAGTGAGGGGAGGACACGGCAGAAGATTTACATGGAAAAGTAAGTTTCTAGCATGAGGTAGGGGCCATACAGGGGTCGTCAAAACAAACGGGTAGAGAATGAAAACATGAATGAACAACAAGATTGAAATACATTTAAGTAGACCAGCGCCCGCGTAAGTACGGGACAAGAAGGGAATAAGTTAAGGCAAAATACAGTGGTAGAATACACGACTGCATTCTATTTGCACACCATCCAATGCACGTTTATCATGAAACAAAGGAATCAATAACTCGACCGGTGAGGTCGGGGAAATGGGGCTGTGCACACCGAAAATGAATGCATTCAATCCTCATCTTCATTCATTTCGCCTTCGTCACTTTCCTCCGCCTTCAGTTTATTCGTATTGCGATCCGAGTCCCTATCCAAAAATTTATATTCCGCGGTAGCCATATCAATGGCCCATTGAAACTTCTCACGCTGGGTTTTGTTGTAAACCTTTTCGATTGGCACATTGAACCGTTTGCACCTGGAAAAAAACCGCGCGTACAACATGAAAATGGATACCAATAGTGAGGAACCTCAAACAGAGCAGTCACTCGCCATCATCGTCAACAGCACATCAGTGTACAACACTGATGCTTTAGTGTCGCAAAACAGTCAATAATAATATTGATACCAGTATAGAGGATTCTTCCTCAGTGTTAAGATGGCATCGATGTGTTCATAGACAATAGTGACGACGAGTGATCCGCATCGCATATTGATACATAACGTCCTCAAAGCCAACGCAAAGGGTTATGGGCGAATCGAAGACGGGTGGCAACTTCATACTTGACTCGTTTAAACACATGGCTACCATACAACCTGACTCGAGCTACCACACCGGTGGTAATTGGGGCAGGTCCAGAATCGCAGTTTTTCTGGAATTCAGAAGCTCGCATCTTATTTAAGGCACTACCTAAGACGAGTACCCGGGATGGGGCAGTCCATGGTCTGGATCTGACCGTAGAATTGCGTTGAATCCCGTTTGAAGTTGTAAACCAAGACAGTATTGCGGCCCCCGCGCCTCTCAAGTGTAGTAGTCACCCTATAGGGAGATCACTGATTGAGGCGCGGACTTACTGACCTGGACATCTCGGCTGCTCCCGTCTATGTTTGGTCAATCTGTCTGGCAGTATCTTAGCTTTCCTGCTCCTTTTGGAGGTGTGCACCGAAAAGGTGTTACAGTTCAATTGTTGTCATTATTCTTATTACCAGTAGTATTGAAACACATCGATAGTGTTCCAGAGAGATATTTTGGAATTAAGACACTTCGCATATTCCAATAAAAACTAAAGTACACATCCTCCTGACGAAAGTTCGCCTTCTAACAAAAGCCAAGTCGCAAGACTCGTGCCTTGGCTTTTCTTATATTTGGATACCAGGAACATATCCGACTAACCAAATTAGAGCAAATTTGTACGGTACTTAGGTTAACCTGTTCTTGAAGGACCACCGAAATCTCTCCGAGGCGAGTCCCAAACATTGACAGAAAATTCAATGGAAGAAACAGAAGTGGGTACTTGGGAGTAACTGTATCATGAAAGATCTGACATCATCATCTAGTGTACTTCACTTGGAGACTGAATATTGACACACCATCATTCAGAGGAAAACATCGTTATGTGTACGTGGAAATTATGTTAAATCCTACAACTTCTAAGTTGCTTCTTCCAAGGATTCCGCCACAGCATACACCTGGACGATGCAGTCACTCCATAATTGGGCGCCCAAAAATCTGACACCGCTCTTGATTGACGCCTTGCGGACTCATAAGACCCTCACCGGAAGGACCACTTCAACAAACCAACCAAAACTGTCCTCTTTTGGATGTTCGCCAGTCAAGTACGCTGATAGTGCTTCCCTCTGTGTCGTCTCCCCAGAGGCATACAGCTCATTTCCTTCACCAGTCAAAATACTCATGAATGGTTGGTCTGTGACTAATCAGATATCAGGAGTTAGGAAACAAAGGAGAGAATCGATTGAGAGGCCATTCGCAAGTACCGTTTACCAATGCGGAACTAAACTAAAAAGAGCGAAATAACCGCTGAAGCCTATTGGACTCAGCGCAATCCGAGTCAAGAAGCTGGGAAACCTTACAGCGGATCGCCAAACAGGCAAAAGAACCAAGCAGGCTTAGCATACATCTAGACAGCTTCCATAACACTAAAATCAGTCGGTGGAAGGTTTGACTCCACAACGTTAAAAACGTACAATGTCGCTGCCAAGATATAAGGCTGTTATCGTGGTGGAACCATTAAGTGAAATAATGTCCAGAGGCCAATCGGTGTCAATGGCCGAGGATCAAGTCGATTGGACGGATGTCACGTGTGGGCTACAGACTAAACGAAGGCACGCCCTGAATAACCAGGTCAGTTAATCGGGATCGATTATAGCTTCCCGCCCTCCCGACGAAGAACCTATGGTGACCTCATGGAACATTGTCATTACCCTACAAATACAGTTTTAATAACCTTTCTTTGTCGCCATAAAGGGCTGCCTCAAGCTGCCGTACCTTTTGATAAGCCGTTATGTGTGCAGCAGGAAGCCAAGGACAGATGTAGTAGTACACAAGACAAAATTGAATCCTATGGCAATTTCAAAAAGGTGTTATTCGGTTTCCTTCAGTGCGATCACATTCGTTTGGTTTGTTTGAGTATTCAGACACTGTGAGCGAAGCTCCTGTTGAACTAACTCGAGTCCCGTCACGTCTCATACAGCTGACCACTGAAGAATTGAAATAACGTGACCTATCTCGTTGGGCCCACGGTGACAGAATGCACGGTACTGTGAGAACAGTTTCGAACTCATCGGCAGGTATCCCGTTTCCCGATGCTTGCACCTGTAGAAATCTGGTGCCGGCTGCCTTAGGCAAGGGTTATCACTCATCTTGTAAGTAGTGCCGTATCAAGAAGAAAAGCTTCGAGATCTTGAATACCGTTACGACCTAAACATGCCGCTTTCGCGTAGCACACTTAATTGGATACCATAATGCTACTCTTGACCTACTACTCTTGACTGAACGGTTCAAACTACTGACCGAGGTTCCCATCTTACCATTATTCTAGTGTTCCTGTCCACAGTTGTACGAGCACATCATACCCATTAAATGTGATCCACGATAACGTAAGGGTAGAGTAGCCTTCACATTCAACCTGAAGGACTCAGGGTTCGATACCTGAAAGGCTAGCGGCATTGTAAATGAGTATAGAGTCTGAAATAGAACGACCACCGTTTCCGTTAATTCACTGGGTATACGTCAGTTTGCGCCTTATACTCCATCCCTATTGACGTCACGGATTAGGGTCACTGTAAATAAAGACAGTGACAAGCATTTGGTGTTCTTCCCATGAGTTTACGAAGACGTTTTGAGAACATCTGTGCACAACTTAGAGTCTGGGAAGAGGAAATTGACACGAAAAAGACGGAGAATTTATCACAATATAGAACAGGACTGAAGAAAGCTGACTCACCAAGCAACTGTGATTCGGGGATCCAAATAATTCAGTTTGCTTGTACTGAGAGCGATTTCCTTGTTTTCATCACGGTCGGTGGCTTGGAGCTGTAGTTTGGCCAACTGCTCTTTCGCAACGCTGAGTCGTTTCTTCAACTTCTCATACGCAACCTTCTTCGCAACTTGTTTGTTTCGTTTATAATCTGCCTTGATCTGTTTTGCCTCGCTTGTTATTTCGGCGATTTGATCGCGTTTTGCATCGATCTACCGGGGAAAAGGTAAAAGCAATCTTTTATTGAATGTGTAATGAGCACCGGATATGGCTATCCACAAAAGCCGGCGAACCTGACAAACAAGAACCGCGACACCACTTTGTACTGTTCCGATCGGTTCGGTAGCGATCTCAGTGGGACCCAAACGCAGTAGACCCAAACTCTACAAACGTACAGCGAGTACACCGCTGATGCAGCCAATGTCCACCTTAGAGACCAGAACAAATTCACAAATAACTTCAGAACCACGGCACGATGGTTAATATTCCAACTTATACACGCCTATACCGCTACTAGCGCGTCAGTTGACAACTGCTAAACTGAGTGACAGGCAACTTTTCGGTTTCTTCATGAAATATGCAAGTACGTTTCATGGGGTGTGCTCTAGCATATCCTAAACTAAACTATTTATTCAGTACACCAGGTGACAGAAACATCAATGCATTCTGGCGGGAAAAATTTTCAAAAATCGTTCAGCTGCAGCACCCTCTCGGTGGCTAACTGCATGCCACCAGAAGGAAGTGTAGTGGCTACCCTCCACTGGAACTAATCTTATTAGTACATTCACATAGACTGTCCATTGTCTTGTTTACCCCCAAACGACGAGCATCGCCTGCCATTTCATCAGCACCTACTTCTCTCCTTCACTAAGGGAAGAGTATTTGTAGAGGTCACTCATCAGATTACGCGTCACGAACACTCAACCCACGTGACTATTCCTGTCCTACTTGGAATCTCAGCCGACAACAGGTACAGTAAAACTTCCAAACCATTTTCGTTTACGCGGCTACCAATTGCGTCACGCGCCAGGATTATGAACTTCATTCAACGCATCAGGTCAAGTTGTATTCATGTTCGTGCAAGTATCAAACACGAACGGACACCCTCTCTTCACAATGCACACAATAAATAGGCATACAACTAGGCTCAACACACACTCGCGCGCACAGGACAGGAAGCCAACCACTCTCCACAAGGCCACGGACAACCATGGAATACGCGTAGCAGCCAAACCGCAGAGAAAACGTTCCCGCCGTCCGGACTTTCACCAAGGAACTCTCACAGACGATAAGTTCCTCTGTTGACTTGCTCCCATGTTGCATTGTATTCATTTTCATACATGTGGCATCTCACCATTGCCAACTATACTAAAAACTTTTATTGGTGCATACACCTGATTTGTATGATGGACATCATCAACAGTGCAGAAGCATGAGGGTTGGGATACTGCCAGATTACCCAAGCCTAGACAGGCGAAATCGAGAGGCAAAAATTGGATTCGAACCACGAACCTTTCGTCAGTAAATTCGCGCTCTAACCGGAGCCATCTCGCCCCTTGGCGGGGAAACTTTCGGAATAATGTGCGACAAGTCAAAAAAAAAAACAAAGCTTAGATGAACGGACAGGTAGGAGTACAAATTAGGAAAGGCACCAAATGTTCTTAGACGGAACCACTTTGCAAATACATGAGTGAGAAGAACGCAAGGTTTTAGAGCTCGTATCCACGACCCTCAATAAAGGCTGCATGCATCAACCTACCTCACAGGAGTTGAAAAGCGGACAAATCACCCACCCACATTCAGGTAGTCAGCTTGTTGAACTCATATGAAAGATAGATATCCAGTGAGGACAAATATCCTGATTGACGATAGCAGTACACCAGTAGCAACCAATAGTGATTCGGGCGAAACGCGCATCGCACACGTATTAAGAGATAAGCACCTCATTTCGCAAGACACGTGAAGGGAACCGTCACATCAGTTTGATTACCAACCCACTCCGTCTTGGTTCGTTAAAACTTGTCGGGGGGTGATTAACAAAGCAGCAATAGCAAAAATTGGTTCATCGGCTTTACAACAAAAAATTGAGTGCATTGCATCAACATTGTATGTTATTTCAACTTCTTGAGAAACGCCAGCACCAAAGAAAAACAACGCTGGGACAAAATGGGAACAGTAGTAAAAGATAGGAATGAATACGTTACATACCTTTTTCTGTAAATTCTCCATGGACTTGGCAAAGGATTTCGGAACCGCCCGCTGATGGTTACACAGTACAGCAACAGCACGATTAGCTCGATTGTAGGCGAGAAGCTTTTCTTGTGGACTGTCGTTTGGATCGGTCAGCAATTCCAGCTGTTCTTCTAATGTTCGGCTGGCATTGTACGTACGGAAGACCTTGGCAGTAAGGCCCTCCATAAGCTCACGAAGATACTGGTTGAGAACAGTAGTCTAAGGGACAGATATTTGACTTAACTTGAAACTCACATTAAGTCGGTCAAAAAGGTCGTCATTTTCCTTCTTATTCTGAAGGAATAGCCTCACATTTTTGAATACACGTTTGGGGACGGCGACAGAATTCTGGTAGCGGATTGAATCCTTACCCAAAAAGTCGAACTCCACGACATATTGCTTGCCATCAAGTTCTTCGTGCAGTTTGATGTGTTCGTATCGAAGTGAGCAACAACCCACAGTATCTGCTTCGTCCTCATCTTTTTCATTGCCAGCACGAAGAGCGAGCTGGATGAGATAAGACAGGGTAAAATTAGGCTCTTCATTATCTGTACTGAATAGTAACCCATACACAGGCGTTGGAGTATAGGTTTTGTGTTCCAGAAGCCCTCGAAAAACAGTGCAAAGAAATGAGTTTAACGAAATAAGCTGGAGGTAGTTAATTGCGGCATATATAACTGTCCGATGTGGTAGCGATACAACTACTGTCGACAAAAAATACCTTGAACAGTCGCAGATCCTGCTGTTGTGTGGACGACTGACCCTGGAGGTCAGAAGCTTACCTGCGGTGGATCGTTACGACTAACAGCGGTCTCTCACGATCGAAGCCCGGTTATGAACGCCTAAAGATGGATAGTCTCGATGCACCCCTAAGTTAACGTGACCTACAGATCGCGAGATGAATTATGTGAAGATACGATTCCAACACTCGTTACAGCATTATGTTAGACTCAATCGGCGAGAAATGTAAAAAAGAGTAGGTTGTTTGCCTACGTCATCTTACACTTGTACAATATCCAACTTATACCATTCATAAACTTACGAGTAGTTTCGTCCCTAACTTCAGTTTAAACTATCTTTTGGATGCAACACACTACACACCGAATGAGCGGTTCCTGAGGAGTCCAACCAAGAACAGCAGTCAACATAAACAGCATAATGAAATTAAATGGCAGGGAATGGGTTTTAACGGCTTATCGATAGTGACGCGATGTCCGGTGGGATTTATGCACTTAAACGGGCAAAACACGCAGCGATCAGCTGTAACAACGTCCTCCAAACTCCTGACAGTTAACGAAAAAATTCTAGCTCCAGGACAGGAACCGAAACCATCATCATCGACAGTATAACATCATTCTGTGACAGTGGTGGTCCGCTGCCGTACAACGATCGAGGAAGGAACTTGGATACCAGTGTATGATACTAAACATTCACACGGCGAAAAATCGGTGAAGCATAAAAACTCACCCTGTCAATGAAGTAAAGGGCAACAGCACGTTGTCGGATTCTCATTTCTTTGTGCTTAAAGTCAGCGCGATAGTCTGCTCGGATGCGATCGATAATCTTGTGCAATCCACGAGCCGTTTCGTACTTTTTCCAATCTTTCTCACCCTGATGATAAGGTGGTAATGGAGCTCACAAGCGTAACTCACCTTCAAACGTGAAGATGGATTGAGCATAACGTATTTAAAGTTATTCTGAACGTTTTCAGTCCAACAAGCGAGCCAAGTAACAGTATTATCGTGCCGTACTTCTTTCCACCGATGCCCTTTAGGGGGGACGGGTATTTTTGAGTTTTTGGAGCAGTTGATAATAACGTGTTCAGGTAAGACACGTTTTTTGAGCATGCCCATTTTTGGATGGTTTCCGCGCCCACGAAAGAGCCCAGGTGGTTCGATGCGGAAATTACCAATTCGTTGTCTGTGTCCATCAAGCGTGCAGTATCCATACTCATTTAGCAGAGCTAGGTTTTCCTCTTTTAATTTTTGCTTCTCCTCCTTTGTCCGATTTTTTCGTTCCTCTGCTAGCTTCAAAAAATGTGCGTGCATTTCCCTAAAATCACATTTGCTCAGAGACTTGATAATTCGGCGCTCATCGTCGTTCATAACCTAACATTGGTAGGGCAGTTATCTACTAAAGTTACGGGAAACATACTTTTAACCAATCTTTGAAAAAATTTTTGTTGAACACTTCTTTGGTGGTGTAATCATGATCAAGCATCCGGGCGTAAAATCCTGCCACTTCCTCAGCTGCATCCGATAGTCGAACTGGTTGTCCGTCATAGTAAAAGCGTACATTATCTGGCAACCGTTCATAAGGTGGAGCGAAAATGGGTCCTTTGTGTTCAAGGAAGGTCCACTTTACTCCATTATCTTTCTTGTCCTCTTCCCACCACCGCCAGACCTCTTCTTCTGGTTTGTCTGATTTGTTGTTCTTGTTGGGTGTGCCACTAGACTTAGTCGGTGTCTCTTGTTCTTTCTTGATTTTGGGCTTTTCGATTTTGACATCCTTCGCCTTTTTATGGTCACCATGTGAACGCGTTTCGGAATTCTAATAAAACTCAATTATTGGTTAGCAGGTGACATACACGAAAGCGATCAGGGGACTCCAGTTTCGGTTTTTTGGATATCCGCATAAGCCTTGAGAGACAAAGCGTTTAGGAAGTAGTCGAACTTACTTCGTCGCGAGAGGTATATCATCGTCCTCATCACTGGAGGACAAGTGAGCTCTGCTTCTCTTCAGTTTATCTGTCAGAGGAATATCGTCATCTGAGTCGGTTTTGATGGATGCATGTGGTGTGCCGTTTCCGACGTTTGAGATATTATTGAGGACACCCGTCATACCGATCTATTTGAAGACAAGGATAAAACAATTTACGTAAATATGTCACTGCATACTACTAGTTCAATTAAACGGCAGGAGCCGAAAATGTAGCCCGATCAACAAGTACGGATAAAAGAAATTGCCCCACCGGTGCGAGAAGATAATGCAGCCAGGTAGTAGGACAAATGCCGTTTTCCAGGGGAATACTACTGGTCAAAATAGAATAGTATTGTGTGCTTCGCTACTCCAAGACCCTATGAAGAGTTGTCAATAGGTAATCACACAAGTGCAAGTAGTTCGGCCAATGTTAAATGTACTAGTTCTGCATCATTATCCCATCGATCACGATGTCCAGTAAGAATGGAAAGAATTGGCATCTTTGTCCGACACCATTTTGTTTTCGCAAGCTTTTAGAGAGCTCACAAGTCCGGAAGTCTGAGAATACAAAGAACACATCACACTGACAAAGCCCTACGGCATTCCTTGCTTCGCAAGCGTACTAGGAGAACAGATCGGTCAACTGAGTTTAGTGTCTGGGAAATCCAGGAATATTAAAATTGTGGGTCACGTACAAGTATGGTGTTGTTCTAGCAGTGTGAACATTTGGTCAACGCAACCCTAACCAAAAAGAAAAATTGTTCAGCTGTAGCACCCTTTTGATGCCCAGCTGCCAGGCCATCCCAAAGAAACACGAGGGATGGGATACTGTCAGGTTTTCCAAGCCTAGACGGGGGAAATCGAGAGGCAGAGGTCGGATTCGAAACACAGACCTTCCGGTCAGTAAATTCGCGCTCTAAGCACTGAGCTATCTCGTCATCCCGAGCAAGCTGGAAGCTCGTTGCTTGCTCTCAACTCAGTGCTTCAAGTGACCACCATAAGGTGATGGAGGACAAGCGACATTAAGAGCCTGCCACAATCGGAGTGACTTCCGTGATTACTACGTGCCCTGTTTCGAAACTGGGTACAATTATATATTCCCTTCAGTCATCTGCGACATGCTTGCACCATGAGCATGAGCCAATATGAGGTAACCTTAGCGGTTGCTGATTCCACCTGTAAATCAACGTCAACCATTATTTTTCCTATTTGTCTGATTGTTCATACCCTCCTGTTCCAGTTTCTTTGTTCCCTCCTTAAGGCTAGTTTGCACTCTGATTACTCATGTGGAGATTTTGTCACCGTCCACCTTTCATTGCGATTTCGTAACAACTCTACATATTTTCGAATGTCTGTACCGAAAAAAGGGTCGTCCAGGGGGTCAAATCCGAACCCCTAGGATGACGGACAAGCACGCTATTCACTGTGCTTCCCTGGAGCTTTGTTTTTGCATTAGCTATGTATTACATCTTACCTGAGGGGGCAAGATAGCTCAAGTGGTTAAACCGGAAGGTCCGTGGTTCGAACCCGACCTTTGCCTCTCGACTTCCCCTGTCTAGGCTTGGGCAACCTGGCAGTATCCCAGCCCTCGTGCAACCTAGGGGTGGCCTGAGAGTTAGGCACCGAAAGAGTGCTACAGCTGAACACCTTACGCTCAGCGCGTATTTCAATTTGACACGCAGCCCCCGGTGGCTTGCTGACTGCTTGACTGTCTCGAACAATAGATTTATTTTAATTCGATAGAAAAATGGTACCAACGTATTACAACCAACAATTATGATGAAGGAAATGACGATTCGTTAGGTCCATCACTTTCCTTACTTTCTACGGACAGTTCGAAAGGCTGCTGTCTGCGCTTCTGAGTTTAGTTAGGAATTGCGTCCGCCGGATAATGGGGTTGTGAATATTAAATCCTCTGTTTAAACCGGGCCTGGTAATGATGAGACACTCATCAAGCCAATCTTGCTTCCAGTTCCATTTCTGTCCAGTTATATCCATAACAACCCCGTGCACACGTGTTCGCATTCGAACTAGTAGCTTCCGAATAAAAGACGCATAAGTCGAACAGAGTTTTATGTGTGCAAAGAGATCTATCCTGTAACGTTTGAGGTCTTTTGAAAGAATAGTTCTCCCCCCAGACTTAATCTTTTATCAAGTTCCAAGTTAAGGGTATCAGGAAACACGGTTTCCCTGCCATAAAGCATTTGGGGATTAAAAACATGCGAAAACACGCGGAATGTGTATGGAAGTCTGTCTTCTAAAGTCACTATGCCGATGACTTTGAGCAACACCCGGCCGTTGGGTGGTGCGCTGGATGTAAACTGAGACCTTTGGATTGTCGCAGTGTACCAATCTAATAAAACCCCGGATGAAGGTGGCATACTGCTGTCACGGTATTCATATGGTACGTGTTATATAAGGGTTTATTTTGGTTTGGGCAATGGGCATGTCCACCACCCGATTTTTTCCATCGAACTTTAACTACTGAAGGGACGCTGAGTAGCTCCGTCAGAAAAAAACAAGCAGGGGTCGGGACGAGCCTCTGATAGAAGAATGGAAGGCGAAGTCGCTCTTCTACAGATTAAGAAATGGAATTCACTATTTGACATACTCAGACCGTTGCGAAAACCCGACCAGTTCGAATCGATACGTGATAGCACTAGCAAAATTAAGGTACACCTGAAAGGTACTCCGAACATCGCATTCAGCCCAAAGTAAAGCTGACTTGGCTAAACTATGAAACTACTGGTAAATATAGCAGCACAATTAGAAGTAAAATCATCCATCGACAACACACATGGCGAAAATGCTTTCTGCTATTGCTACGAGGATAAGCTCAACATTTCGTGGGGGCACTTCGTACTGAGCACACTACGCATCCAGAAAGCTCCAGCGGTGCAGTGCAGGGATCGTTTGCAAGTTGTCCTTTTTTCACTCAATTTATCACTAAAATTTTTCCCTGTAGCAGACTAAATGAGGGGGCTATGCTAACTCTACTGCCAACTCCACTCCCGTGATACGAGCTTTTCCCCTAAGAAGTGAGGACAAATCAAGTTTTATCGTTCCCATTAATACCAACCTACTCACCCTAGTATATAACGGATGAAAAAATACTTCCTATTTTGTTGGCCCATATAAAAACACGTTAACATGTTTGTATCCAGGTCTAAATCACGAGGTTATGAACAGGCATTGGTATCATATTTGCTTCCCATCACCTCGCTACCACCACCTGGGGACCCTGATCGCATGCTAACTACTATTATGTTACTGTGTACTGCGTGAATCCATTTAGAATTGTACCGGAGTGAAGGTCGTAAATCCGGTTATTAGTAACCGGCATCTGGTATACTTGATCATAAGTGTACAGAGAGAGACTGAACCGTACGTTAAGTGCTGATTCTGGAGTAACCGATTCTATCTCCTCAACCTGATGAGACATCAATCGATCAGAAAAGCGACGTCGGTGTTATGTCACTCGACATCTTGACAAACAGTTTTGTGAAAGCCAAGGCAACGAAAACGACCAATTCTGTTGCAGCATTCTTGATTACGTACTGAACTGATCGTAGTGCTACTTTTTGACAGTGAGAAACACCTGGAATAAGTATCGCCGTTCGTCGCACAGTTAGCCTTGACATTCGACCATCGGCACCATGCAGAAGTTGAATCTTGCACGCCGCATTCTAAGGGCAGTACTACATCCTAGATAAACTGGGATTCCATAGTGGAATTCAGTTATTTTTTCAGTTATATTCAGAAGGAACTAGGCCAATGGTCTACACGACCACTTTTCGTTCAACACACACAAATGAAATGTTGGCGTTAGGCTGCAGCTGCAGGTGGACGTAGTCTCAGAATCTTCATTAGTTTTATTTCGTTTATTTACAACCGACTTGAGCCTATGTGGTAATGAAAACTCAATTTCAAATTAAACTGACAGTATCATATAAAGGAAAATCCTTCGACATATTGAAGATCGTCTAGACCAAATAGGAGGCGGCCTTTGTGCAGTACATTTATAAAACAAACAGGAGATTCGGTTTGATTTCAGATGAGTTTACTGTTAATTTTCAAATGAATATTTACGTCAGATAAGTTCGATCTGGAATAAGACTGAGGTAAATTCGGAGGCGAGGTCCACCTGATAAAGCCTGTCTCGAGTTTTAATCATTCCTAGTAATGAGCAGGAATAAATAAGGGTTTACCATTCCTCCACAGGATGAGTGCTCAGGGCACAATAGCTATCTCATCAGCCTCGGCCTTTACGATAGTTTGCCAGTACGGATTGTCTCTATTTAGCTTGCAAAACGATGGCAGTAGCATCTCGGGTTACTATCAAGGGTTCTTAATTTCGGAATCGAAACTTTGTTTTTCAAAGAAAACGAGTGCACAATCTCATTTGGCTACGGGTGAACATCGACCATTTTGGTCGGGGAAATCATCTTCACTAACCGACGGTCTGGGGCACAACAGACCAAGGAGGGCCTGCTTGTTGATTTGCCGCAAAAACCCCACCAGGTTAACCCACCCCAAAACAAGCTCCATTTGAGTGCCACGATTAAGCGTGGCAACCGTGACAGCGTGACCAATGGATCGCGCACGTATCACAAGCTGGTTACGACTGACATATCGAATCCTTTCTCCCGTTGGTACCACTTTCAACGCTTCTAGCCTCATGATGCTGACTGTGATGGGCTCAAAATCGTCCAAGAGCTGCATTCATGAACGCGCCCCTTCACGTGGGGTGTTGTCTAGTGATTTGCTTGGTTAACCTAAGATACTCCAAGACAATGACATAACTTACTCTAAACCTTGTGGGTCCTATAACGGATTTTGGTGTTTTTTTCACCTGCTTGCCTTGTCTCCGTCGCACTTATACACCCAAACCGAGACCGTCAAGGAAAAGCATATGTTACCCAATAAGTAGTTGATTTTCTGAGACAAGAACCTTAGGTGATTCGGGTTATACAAACACACCAGTATGAAGCCTTAAACACTTAAGTAGGCCCTAGGTTCGTTCAGGACTAGGGATGGCTGTGAAAAGCCATAAAACTAATGAGACCAACCAACAGTAACATAAAAATACTCAACATCACTCGCTGGAAAGTTCAGCCGATGAAACTTCCAGCGATCGTTTTTCAACTGTCCTGTGCTGTTTGGTGTTACTACACTAAAAAATCAGAAGGTGAAGGAGCTGACAAGGAATTTTCAATCAATGCTGCAAGTCTGAATGACGCAAAGTCAGAGGACGACTGGATCGCACGGTGTCGATCGAAACGCCAGAATTGTGTGAAACTCTAATGAATACGGTAGCCAAAAATCCGTCTTATTAGCTAACACATGGTCAACGAGGGTCGCTCGTGAACAAGTATGAACTCACGGAAAAAGACTGATTGGCGCCACAGCCCGATATTCAAATTTAGCACCACTGATAAAAACAATTGGTTAGGTTACACCAACCCAAGTTCAAAAGGATCAGAATACCGAACTTCGAGTGAGAATTCAGAACGCGTAGGCTTGACTCAGCCTAGTTTGTAGTTTCTTCAAAGCAGTGTAACTGAAGGCGGATAGTAAAGGCAGGCAAGCAGGTTTGTCTGATTCCATAATAATAGTCGCAAATAGTCACAGATTGACAGAGGATCGAGGCCTTCGGATTCACGGATTCACGGATTGATACACAGGATCGAGGCTTTTGCCCAAGTTTCCCGGGTCGGTTTTGTTCTTGTCGGTCAGTGGCTGCTGTTCATCTGAAAGGCACAAGTGAAAGAAGGGTGCAGCACTGCCCGTTATGTTCTAGGCGCGGGACAGTATGCATGCCAGCTCGAGAATTTGCATAAATAAATGTCTAATAGTGCTTTAAACTGGGTTCTGGAAGGGGCGTGGAGAACCGTCGGAGGAAGGTCATTTCACGCGCTACTACTCGAAATGAGAAAAAATTTTGTTTAATGAATGTATGTGCTCTGAGCTTGAAAATTTTCTTACAATGTTTTCGCTGCGTCAACGGTGAAACACCTGTTTGCCAAGCTTTGTTCAAACAGGGCATAGGTTAGAACTAGGTCCCCCCGGAGGCGACGGTACTCCAGAGGAAAGAGATCAAGCGTCGCGAGACGCGTTTCGTACTCCACGGATTTGAGGCCGGTAACCATTCTCG